TATTTTCTCTCTATATATATATATATATATATATATATATATATATATATATATATATATATATATATATTAGGGCTGGTGAGCGATTACAATTTTTAAAATCTAATTAATTACATGATGTGGCGATTAATTAATGGCAAATTAATTGCACATCAAATTTGGCTGAGAAATAGATAATTTAAAGTCATTGTTGTGTAAAGCATCAAACAGACATTACAAAAAGTAGCTTCAGCAAGAAATAATTTGTTTGATAAATTTTTTTACATATACTCTTTTGGATCATGAGGGTGAGTAAATGATGACACAATTGTCATTTTTGGGTGGGTGAACTATACCTTTAATAATTAATTTTATAAATTGTATTATTATTACTATGGAAATATGAAATTATTTCTTTATTAAAATGATACTCTAAATAATAAACTAAAACTGCCAGTAGGTGGTAGTAAATGTCTTAAGGATTAAGTCATCGAGTCATTTATTCATTCATTTGAATCGTTCAAATGGTTGATTCATTCAGGAGTGAAGTAAATGGTTCTTTATGAATGGTCCATTGAATCTTTAGGCTTGTTCGACTTGAAGCGGATCATCACCATCAGACAATCTGTGTATGACATCAAAGTACTGCAAGAGCTATAGAGAGCAGACGGCTCTGCATGCTTTTGAATCGCTCTCGCGGTACTTTGTCATACACCGATCGGTCTGTGCAGCGTCGCTTCAAATCCAACGAGACTAGGGCAAATGGTTCACCCAATTCATTCAAAACGTGCATTAAGAAATGAAATGCCGCTGTGTGTTGCTCGGAGATGAACAGTTCTGCTTTGTCGTTATAGTTTTGTTGGCAAAACTGAGCAAAACAGATAACTTTGTGTCTAAAAAAACACAACATTAACTTCTTACTCACTGAACTGTTGTATAAGATTAGTATCACATTTGCACTGTGATATTGCTTAACTATATGACGTTAATATGATATAAAAACTCAAACGGGCATTTTTGCCCCATATCTTGAACTTTAGGGACATTCTAACTGCGTTCTCTAGACTCCATCATGCAGTGAGTTGTTGCCCTGCCTCATATTTGTCATCAATCAACTGTATGTCAAGTGTCAAATGTCAAGTGACCCACATAGGTCTGGGGCGGGGCAAGTGAGTTAAATGCGTTAATAATTTTAATGAGTTATTTTTCACCGTAATTAATTAATCTAATTAACGCATTAAATTACCAGCCCTAATATATATATATATATATATATATATATATATAGGCCTATGGTTCATGTCAATCTAAAAAGGGGAGAAAAAGTTTGAAAACCACTGCTGTAGAGAACAGTGCACTATTGCAGACTTGTATACTGAGGTTTTAATTACATTATTTTAATATAGTCAGTCCTGAACTAAAGTGGGTCGGTCTAATGGAACTGCAGGAACTAACAATCCTGAACACATCCTGCACAATCAGGTGATGACTTTTGTCTTATTGGCTCTAGTTTGTCCATTTTTATGGATTTGCTTTCATTTTGGTATCATTTTGTAGTTTGAAACATACAGATATACATTCTTGCTTCAGTTGACCAACACCTGTCAAGACTTCATGCCAGCTCTGAATCAACATATAACTGCCAAATTATCTATGTATTGTAATCATCACAACTTGCAATTTCTTTAATGAGCTCAATTATGAATACATGATATTGGCTAACTGCTTGATCTGTATTGTCTTAGTCCGTGTAATGTCTATATGTCAAAAATGTACAGTTCCGTCATCGCTGATAGCAAATCACTCTAAATTGCAGAAACTGCGAAGCTTCTTTGAAACTATATGTATTGTGAAAAGCGCATTACAAATAAATACAAACTGATTTGAATTACTGTCTTAATTCTTTCTAGACAGTGTGCATTTATATGATTGCTGTTGCTGTTGAAGTGGGCCTAGTGGCTATTGAGGTGACTTTAAAACTTTATTTCCACAAACATATGCTTATATGGAATCCTCATTAAAGTACAAATTCTTCACTGCTAGGAAAGGTTATGCTCCTGATTACACAAGACAAACTGGAGAA